CGCTTGAGCCACAGGCGCCAAGCCGATATTTTTTTTTTTGAGACAGAGTCTCACTTGGTCACCCTTGGTAGACTGCCATGGTGTCATAGCTCACAGCAACCCCAAATTCTTGGACTCAAGCAATTCTCTTGCCTCAGCCTCCTAAGTAGCTAGAAATACAGGTGCCCACCACAATGCCCAGCTATTTTTAGAGATGGGGTCTTGTTCTTGCTTAGGCAATCCACCTACCTCAGCCTTCCAGAGTGCTAGGATTACAGGCATGAGCCAGCGTGCCCAGCACGGAACCATGAGGTTTAATATACATAAAACTCTTCATGAAGCAGGAAGTAGGCCCTCAAATAACTATCACTACAGCCAGCCTCATTAACTGTTAGGTCCCTGGTATTAGCCAAGTAGAGGCACCCAGTAAGTAAGTGAAGGAATAAATGGATGAATCCAAGCATGAAAAAAGGCACTTGGCCAGACAGTCTGGAGCTCAAGCCTGGCATGGAATCATGAGGTTTAATAAATTAATACACATAAAACTCTTAGTAAAGCAGGAAGTAGGCCCTCAATGAACTATCACTACAGCCAGCCTCTCTCAAGAGAGAGGTGGCAAATTGGGTATCTCAATGACAAGTGAAGTGAGGGGATGGAAGTGAAAAACTAGGACAAGTATATTTAGAGAGGAAACAACAACCAAAAATTAAAATTCCCAGGACATTAAGGCAAGCCCAGAGGATGCAACCAGATAGGATGAAAGAAGAAAAGCAACTCAAAGGATACTGAAATAATACAGGAAGCAGAAGAAAACTTATACGCACACATAGATAGACTCTAATATTCTTAGAGATTTACAAGATGATACTGTCTCCATGAAACAGGAACAAGAGACTATGAAAAAGGAATATCTGAAGACCAAGAAAGAGCTTTTGAACAGGAGAAATGAAATTTCAGTAGAGGGCTGAAGAATCAAGTCAAGGAAATCTCTTAGTAAAAGGAAAAGACAAAGAGATAGGAAAGAGGAGTGAAAAAGTAAGAAAATTAGAGGAATAGAGCAGGAAGTCCAGTATCTGAAGGATATGAGTTCCTGCAGGAGAGATTCAAGAAAAAAGGAGGGTAGCAATCATCAGCAAAATCACAGGGGAGTGAAGAGGAGCCCGTATCACACAAGGTAGCGGGGGACCAGAAATGCCTTACTCACCAGAGAAGGCACTGTCTCGGAGGCCAGGGTTGCTGGACACAGGGGCTGACAGGGCAGCAGGGCTGGCAGCTGAGGTGCTGTCAGGAAGCACCTTCCTGAAAGGAAGTAACATGTAGGTGAGCGAGGACCCTGGTGGGCCTCACCCCCACTACCCACCTGGCCACTCACAGGTAGCCCAGATAGTCATCTTCATCATCGTTCTCATCTTCATCCTCACAGCGATGGTCTGGGGATAATAATACAGGGGTTACCTAGTCTGGGACAGGTCCAGGCTCCCCACCCTGCCTGGGCACCCAGGATCCCAGACGCACCTTCATTTTCGTAGTTTCCCACACTGTTGGCTTTAGGGAGAGAGCAAGAGAGAGACTGAGTCAGTTCAGGCAGAGCCCATTTTCTGCCCAGCCCCAGCCCTCAGAGACCCCTTTTTTTTTTTTGAGACAGAGTCTCACTATGTCACCCTCTGTAGAGTGCTATGGCATGACAGCTCACAGCAACCTCAAATTCTTGAGCTTAAGCATTTCTCTTGCTTCAGCCTCCCAAGTAGTTGGGACGACAGGCACCTACCACAATGCCTGGCCATTTTATGGTTATAGTTGCCATTGTTGTTTGGCAGGCCCGGGCTGGGTTCGAACCCACTAGCTCTGGTGTATGTGGCCTGCGCCCTAGCTGCCGAGCCATGGAGACCCTCTTTTTTTTTTCTTTGTAGAGACAGAATCTCACTTTATCGCCCTCAGTAGAGTGCCATGGCATCTCATAGCTCACAGCAACCTCCAACTCCTGGGCTTATGTGATTCTCTTGCCTCAGCCTCCCGAGTAGCTGGGACTACAGGCGCCTGCCACAATGCCCAGCTATTTTTTGTTGCAATTTGGCCAGGACCAGGTTTGAACCTGCCACCCTCAGTATATGGGGCTGGTGCCCTACCCAATGAGCCACAGGCACCACCTGGAGACCCTTTTTGCATGGACACTTACCGCTATCCGAATCTTGCCGAGAAGATGGCATCCGGTGGGAGCCCCCAGGGGGCTGTGGGGATCTTCTGGGAGTCAAAGGTCAGGGGTCATGACTGGGGTGGGGCTCCAGGGGCAAGAGGAGTTGCAAAAGGGAACAAGGCCCCCAACTGGAGGTGAGGGGTGGAGTGGGGTCTGGAGGAAAAGGGGTTCAGGGGCTACTCACGGGATGGGGAGCAGGTCTGGCTGGCTCAGGGGTGGGTAGGAGGTGACAGGTGGGTAGGAAGTGGCAGGTGCCCAGGGAGCAAGTGTGTCTGAGGACATAGAACCAAGCTTGAAGGAAGGACTCCAGGCATCCTGCTCCTGTCCTAAGCAAGGCCTCAAAGAGCAGACTAACGCCTGAAAGCCCCTGTGCCCTGGACACAACTGGGGGAATCCCATCTGCTCCCAGCCCAGCTCAGTTCAAGGCCATGTGGACAATCCCAAGGAGGTAAAACAAAGGTACACACTCACTCATACACCAGGGGACCCTTTCCTCTGCACCCAAGGTGAGAGACCTTCCATGTACTTACGAGCTGGTTTGATCAGGATGCTCCTTGGATACAAACTGGCAGGACAGACACAGCTTAGGTATGGGGCCAAGAGAGGCCCCAACCTCACCCTACCATAGGGCCAAGAGGGAGCCACAGGAAGGCAGGGCAAACTCACCTATCCGAGGTGGCACTGTCATATGAGCCTGGGAAGAAGATGGCAGGTGAGGCAAGAAGGGGGTGCTGTGGTGAGAGGCTTCTAGAGCCCAGGGGGCTCTGCATCCCTGAGAGGATGGGCAGGGACAGTGCTGAGTGCACCACCAGCTCCCTACTCACCTGGCAGCTCACGGCAGCGCACACAGAGAGCCAGCAGCAGCACGGCCAGGAACGGCAGCAACAGCAGGCCCAGAACATAGGGGACCAGGCCGGCTCCCTCCATCTGCAGGGGAGCTTGCACCAGGCTGGCTGCACCCCACAGCCCCTCCAGGACAGAGCCACAGTAGAGTGAGGACTAGGCCCAGCAGGGTCCACGGTCCAGGAAGGCAACAGACTGAGGGGCTGGGGGGGAGGCAGCTGCCCCTCCTTGGGGTCCCTGGACCCCCTCCCTAGATGGGCTGAATGGGGGTCAGCACTGGCTCTGGGAGACCTTTGGTACCAGGGTAGTCAGGCCAGGCCCCGGGACTCTAGCCACCCGCTACACGGTCCCCACGCCCCAGCCGTACCTGCCCCTTGCTGGCGCCCGCCTCCCCTCCACGCCCGCCCGCCTGTGGCAGGAAGCTGTGGTGAGCGCCGGGCGAGGGCAGGAAATCATCAGGCTCCTTAGCTGGCTGCACCCGCCCCTTCCCACCCCCACCCAGCCACTGGGGAGGGGGCAGGAGGCCTAAGGAGCCTCCCCCAGGCTCTTAAGAGGGTCTGTTGGCCTCCAGGACAAGGGACAACTCAAGCAGTGGGAAGTGGAGACACCCTTGCAGGCCAGCCAGCAGCCGTGGCCTCCACCTCTGTGGGCCAGGGAGGTGGCAAACCAGGAGGCGCCAGTAGTGGGAATTCTGAGGTGCAGAGGGCTGTGCCTACCCCCAGACCCGTGTGCCTAGAGGGCCAGGTTCCGGGGAAGCATGGGCATGACTCATGGTCACACCGAGCCAGCTCACTCAGAGGACAGCAATCTACCCTCTCAATCACCCAACCTAGAAGCCAGAGATTCACCCAAAGCCCCACAGAAGAGAACCTAGAGTCCCCGGAACCCTATGGGTGGAGATGGGACACCCCCTGCAATCCAGAGGTCAGAGGTTACAAGCACCCAGAGAAAGACTCAAGCAGGCTCTTGAGGTCTGGCTACAAATTTTATTCCTTTACAAATAGCACCAAGCCCCTGGGGCTGCCCCTGTGGAGGGGATGCCTCTCCTGGACCCCCACCTCCTCCCCAGGCTGCCCATGTAGTGTCTGGGAGCTGGATCATGACCCAGGGTCCCTCCTGGAAGCTGGGCTGGGCCAGAGGTTTAGCCCCAGGCACCCCATGGGGCAGGTCCTGAGCCACTGGCGAAAGACGTACACAGAGGTACATGATGGCCTCTCAGATGAGTACACTGGACACGGGGACCCGGGTGGAGCGACCTCGTTGGGGTACCACTATCCGGTCATCTGTGGGCCCTGCCTCAGACAGCAGACCTGCAGGGGAAGGAGCAGAGCTGGGGCTGGATGGAATGACACAAAGCCAGAGCAGGGACAAACAGTGGGAAACAAACAGGGCAGCAGCAGAGAGTACCAGGGCCATGGACCCAGTCAGACCTGAAGCTGAATGAGGAGAGGACTATGGAGTGAGAGACCTCAAGTGTACAGATGGACAGACAGACAGGCAGCACCAAGAAGCTAGGTGGGGGGCAGCCTCCAACTGACCCTGTACATGCAGCTGGGCCTGCCGGCGGTCACCCTCAATGAAGATGGCGGTGCCCAGGAAGGCCGCGCCACCCAGCGCCCCGACAAAGGCGCATAGCATGAGCGAGAACTGCAGGGCCCGGAACTCGGACAAGAAGGAAGGGGGCCAGCTCCGGCGGAGGCGATCAGAGATCTGCAGGAGGAAGGAGGCAGGAGAGTTAGAGACCCAGGGAGGGGCTGGGGAGAGGGAAACCCCAAATTCCAGGGAGAAAGGAAATGTAGCCTGGGGAAGGGAAGGCAGTTTGGACCACCAGGGTTAGGTCCTTCTTGGCCTCACTGGTAAAATCTACTGAAACAAAATCCTTCCCCTTCAGCTGAGAACAGAAAGTGAGCACAAGGATCATGGACACCTTAAATGGACCGGACCTTCTGATCTGGCCAGACTCAGGCCACCGGCCAGGGGCAGGAATGCCCAAGGTAGGTCCCCCAATCCTTACCCCATGCAGGCCAAGGGACAATGCTCACCAGGCCAATGAGGTAGGGGCTCCCAGCGTCACCTAGCAGGTGGGACAGCACAATCTGGAAGGCTTCAGCAGTGGAGCGTCGTGTAGGGATCACCACATACTAGGGGAAGCAGGAGCTCAGTGGGGTCTCAGGGGACAAGGGAAGGGGGCAAGGTCCAGGTGAAGGCTCAGCCTAAGCTGGGGTTTAGACGTATGACTAGGGACAAGGTCAGAGCTAAGTCCAGGGCTGTGGCCTCTCTAGGGCTGGAACACACAGTCTGCAGCTGTGTTTGGAGGAGGGTAGAAGCCACACCCAAGAGCAGGTGAGGCCTCCTAAGCCGCTCCCGTCAGCCTCTGGGCTAACCATGGAGCCACCTACTGCTACTCACCAGCAGAATGTCAGCCACAATGGCCCAGTTCATGGACAGCAGTGTCTCTCCAATAAAAATGAAAATCTAGAGGACAGAGAGGGCAGGCTCTCATCACAGCAAGGCCTAACACATGGTAGACATACCTGTCCCAGGCCTCTCTATTCACTTAATCCTCACAACACTGCTGGGAGACAGTTGCTACTACTACTGCCATCTTACCGATGATAAAACTGAGCACAGAGAGGTTAAGTTGTTGCCCAGCATCACATAGCTGGAAAGGGCCAGAGCTATGATTCAAAACCAGGCATTTCACAGAAGTGGGCTTGGAATCACATGCTGGCTGACCCCAGTCCTGCCTGATGCATTGTTTCTCCGCCCAGGTCTCAGATCACCCCTCTTGTCACCTTCTGGCTACTCACATAGGTGGCCACGATGCTACCACGGGCACAGGCAAGGGACAGGAAGAGGAAGGGTGCGGAGCCCAAGAGGCCAGCAGCACAGACCAGTGGATCTGCCCGGGGGTTGGTACGGCGCAGGCGACGGCTGATCTCCACACCCAGGCCCACACCCAGGACCCCGGTCAGGCAGGTGATGAGCCCGAAGATGAGACTAGAGGGCGGGGAAGGGGCATGGGGGCCAGTCCCTCTGCCTGCATGCCCCCTCTGGGCTGGCCCCCATGGCCTATAGAAGAAGACGGCCCTCCCCAGCACCCCCTGGTGCACACAGCCCCAAGAGGCAAGCACTATCCCAGCATGTTTCCCAGGCCAGGAAACTGACTCTGGGAGAAGCAGCACCTTGTGGAGTCAGGATATGAACTCCCTGCTGGGTGTGAACCATGGACCCTCTTCACTCCACCCTTGCTACCCATAAGCCACCCAGCCCAGCCCCCTCCGGGTACCTGTCAGAGGAAGAACAGGAGTCTCCAGGGAGGCAGGGTGGGGTCTCTCCCAGGACCACACGGGAACGAAGCAGGAATGCAGGAGCCCACAGGGCCAGGGAGCCCGTGACAAAGGCCACAGCAGTGAAGCCAAGGGAAGAAAGGACAAAACTCGGACTGCAGACAGTCAGGGAGGGAGGAAGTCAGACCTCAGTGAGTGTCCAGGTAGGAGAGGAGGAGAGGTCCTCACTTCTCCCTTCTTTTCTGCTTGTTTGTCTTTTTCTTGCCCAGTGTCTCAGCACTTGAAGATAGAACCAGCAAATAGAAAGCCACCAGCGACGTGACCCTGAGGGGGCGGGAGGCCTTTCCCTCTGCCTCTGCACATAACCCGGAGGGGGACCATATGCCCAGTTCCCACCAAGAAAAGGAGGGTGTAGCTTATTTTAGTAAGGTCAGAACACTGGGACCACCTGGAGACTGTCCCAGCTTCTGGGACCTGGACCTGTAATTCAAGAGCTGCCACAAGGGACCAGCTGAATTCCTGGCCTTGGGGTGGGCCAGTTGACAGAAAAGAAAAAAATAAACATGCTCCACTGAAATCTCAGATGTCAGGACCTCCCAAGGTTCCTCAGATGGTGATTTAAGAAGGAACTAAACTCACTTTCTTGCCAGAGCCCTCAGATCTGCCCACCACGAGGTGGGGCTCAGGGGTGGTGAATCTGAATGACGCTCCACAGCTCCCCTTGGTGGCTCCCGTACTACCAGGAACAGCAACAGAACAGCTACCACTCCTAGACCTGGTGTCACCTGGGGAAGAGAATGGGCTTCAGGACAGGCAGACGTATCCACCAGGGCTGGGGGAGGAGGAGGGTGTACAGACTACTTGGGTTCCAAGACCTCAAATACCCACATAACAAGATGAACTTGTAATTTGGAGGGGGCACTAGGGGCCACCCTATTTTTGCAAGCCTAAATTTGCTTCCTCTGGTAACTGCACCCTTATTTTCTTTTGGGAAACCACTCTCCCAACTTCTCTCACTCCACATAGTTCAAACAATTCCAGACTTGGCCAATGAGAGTACTGTTAGCCATGCCAGCCTCAGTTAACTGATTCCACAGTAGGCACACGACTCATTCATCTAATCGGACACCATCCCAGGACTATAGCTCAAGGAGCCAAAGTGCTGAAGTTTCTACATGGGAAGATAATTGTTTGGAGCTTTCACAGGCTTGCGAATGAAGTTAACACAGAGGAAAGTAAAGCTAGGAAGAGGATGATTAAGTGCCTGTGATGATGTGGTAGCCCTGGATCCAGCTTCACCAGAAGCTCACCCTGGGACTTTCTACGAAGGAAGCCAATGTAGTAAGGGCTTACAGTTTTACAATGGTCTTCCGTCACCTGCACACAAGAGTTCTGTCTAGCATATGGTGAGCTTAGCCAGCTTCCTGCAGGCTTTACAGGGTGAGCACTGCCTCCAAAAGGGGATGTCCCAAGGTAGGAAAAAAGGATTGGGACTGTTGCTGAGTTTCCCCAGGCTATGACCAGACTTACCCGCAGAGCCCAGTGCCAGTCTCCAGCCACATCCTTCACTTTGGAGCCTGCAATGTAACCCAGACCACTGTGGGAGGAGGGAAAAAAAGGGGACAACCAGTCAGTCAAGTCCCCTGTGCCAGACACATGTGCTGCCCCACCAGGATGAAGGCTCCCTCACCTGCCCACCGGGATGGCGAAGTAAAACACACTGAGCATTCGACTCCGCTGGTCGGCCACGAAGAGGTCAGCAATGAGCGTGGGTGCGATAGTGGAGTAACTGGCCTCTCCAACCCCCACTAGGCCCCGGGTCAGGAGAAGCAGCCAGAAACGCTGGGGAAGGAGACAGGGGACAGGTAGTGCCCTGCCCTGAAGTTGCCTTGCAGGCTACCTCACCAGCTGGCTCCAGAGAGGCAGCAGGGATAGTGGAAAGGCCTGGGTTTACAATCAGACAGACCTGAACTTGAATGCAGTCTCCACCACTGACTAGCTGTGACTCTGGGAAAGTAACTTAACCTCTCTGAGCCTCAGTTTCCTCATCTGCAAAAGGAGGATAACAACTTATTTGCATAGCTATTGTGAGGACTGGATAATAAAAGGTCTAAATAAGACTCCCTGGTGGTGAATAATAATCTTAGGTAGGGGATGATTTGTCTACCAAAGATACCTGAAGCTAAGGACAGGTGTATTACCCAAGGAGAGTCATTGGGGCTGAGGACAGAGTTCTGGGGCAGAGTGAGCTGACAGAGGAGACTTCAAAGGAGCAAAGAAATACCATCTAGGGAGGCAGAAGGGAAAGCAGAAGAGTGTGGTCTCATAGACATTAGAAAAGAGTTTCAGGAAGGAAGAAGTGGGTCAATAGTGCGGGAGGCTTCCCAAGATCTAGCATCAGAATGCTGCAGACTTTGGAAAGAGCAGGGTCATGGAGGAGTGGGTGCCAGGGGTGAGTGGCAGGTGAGGAAGGGATCCAGAAGGCCTTTCTGAAAGCCTGATAGGGAAGGTGAAGAGGAAGAGAGGGGCAGTCCAGGTAGAGAAGCTTAAGTATCTAGGTAGGAAATGGAAGGAATCAGTGGTCAGGGGAAGACAGGATGACGGATAAAAGGTTCTAAAAGGAGTGGATGGATGGGCAGATTAGGTGTGTGGAGGGGGCAGGAATAAGATGGCATGGGCCAAGGAAACTGCAGAGGTCTCCAGGGCCTAATCTGAAATGATTTCAGAGCAGCGGTAGAGACAGGGGCATAGGGGCAGGCATTAGCAGGAGCCAGTTTGAGACCTCACCTCTCTGGGGATGAAGGATGACCCCAGTGTCACCAAGGACCAGAAGGCAATGCCCCCGCACATGAGATACTTCCGATTGTACCTGTCACCCAGGTAGCCAAACACAGGTGCCAACACCATGTAACTGGAGATGAACACTGGGGGGAAGCAGAGAGTCACAGCCCAGTCCCAATGCCCATGCCCTTACCCCACCCCAGCTGGAATAGCTAAAGAATTAGAGGTGCCCACTAGCTCCTCCTTCACTGCATACCACCCCACATCCCACCCCTGAAACTCATCAGACCTTCCCACCAAGGGGATAGCCCAGTCCCATCTTCAACATCTTTCCACACCTTCCTCTATAGAATGGATGATTCTGCTGACTTGTCACTTCCTCCCACCTGGCCAAGAACAAACTCCAAACACCATACATACCATGACCCACAATGCCCTATACAATGTAGCCCCTGCCTACCTCTCCAACCTCATAGCCACTCACTTTACCTTCCTATCTCTGCATCCTAATGGCCCAATTGCCCAGGTCAATATAGTCTTAGGGATTTAGGCAGTTGTTGTCCCCTCTATCTGCAACATTTTCTCCTCTCCCTTGAACTTTGCAGAACCTAGCTCCTGTAGGTTCCAGCTCAGATACCTACCCAGCCCACCACACATCCAGTCCCTGTCTAACACATCTACTATGTCCTTTTACATAATAAAGAAAACTGTCTCATTTTAGTTAAGGGTTTTATTGACTTTTGTCTACTTGTGCACAACAAAATGTCAGCTCCCAAGGCAAGGACCTTGCCTGTACTGGCCAATATTATATTTCTTTCTTTCTTTTTTATTTTTTTTGACAGGAGCCTCAAGCTATCTCCCTGGGTAGAGTGCCATGGCATCATGCTCACAGCAACCTCCAACT